GGGGCCCAATAGATAACTAAGTGGGCTTTCAACCTTAAAGCCGTCCAAGGTTATGGACCGGGCCATGAGCAACATTAATGGAATTAGGCTACTTCAAATGATCCACTTAAGTTGTCCGAATAGTTTGTTCATTGTGGTGTCGACATTTCACTTCAATCATCGGCCGAGGCCTATGAATTCTAATCCAAACTACAAACTGGTTTAACATCATCGCTCGGATTTATTGGGTATCAAAAAACCCAACAAACATGTTGATCGGGAAAGATAATGCTTTTTCCTGACCATATTTTTGGTCGGAAAATGTCAAAAGTTAGTTGGCAATGCTACTTGACAAGTAGTGAATGATGATACTAAACATTAGCTGACCATAGTAGTTTTTTTTTAATCAATAAAAATTTGTTATTTTCCATCAATACTTGTACAAATATAAACACAGCACAGAAAACTTTGCCTTCTTCAACATAGATGTCTGTCATAGAGCATTCAAGGAAATGTTGAGAGCTATATCTAAGCAAGAAAAGATCAAACATTTTCGAGACACAAATTACAGTCCTGGAATCTCTTTGATTTGTTATCTAACCTCAGAGTTCCTCTATTTGTATGCCTGTCTTATTGCATCACCGGCGATAATAACAGTAAACTGTGCCTTTTATGATTACAACATTTGAATCTGAGGCTCCGTGTTAGGGAGTTTACTGAGAATATTGTGTTCTGGTTTGTGATCACACTCATAATCGTGATGAACAAAAGCCTTTCAACTTCGGCAAGCTCTTCAATCTTTATCTGCAATGATTCTCCAATTGCATGGGCTTCTTTCAATGGCAAATCCTCTGGAAGCTCTATGTCCACCTCGACAAAGTAGAGAACGCCGAATGTGTAAGCACGAACTGTATCAACCCGCTTTATTTCAGGACCGTGCCTTAGGACAAGATATGTGAGTTTCTATAATACTTCTGGAGAAGCTGATTGTCCCACCAGAGTAACTGCATTTTCCAACACGGTTCCTGACCAATTTGAAATCGTGAAAGCGAGAAGTATAGCTCCAGAAGGATCAATCCACCAGTAGAATTTATCGCCTAAAACAGTAGCAATCAAACCAACCACATTTGTCACCACATCAAAATAATGGTCCTTTGCGTAGGCTCGAACAATCTTATTTCTAGAGCTTCTGCAGTAAATCCAAAGAACAAGTTTTACCCCAGTGGCTGTCAACATAATGACATACAACCACACCAATTGATATGAACTCATTTTCCCTGAAGGTTCGACTTTGATCAGTTGTTCTAAAGCCTGTACAAGAACCTGAAAACCAAGAGTCGCCATGACAGCAGCAAAGACGATAATGCCGACTGGTTGCACTCTTAATTTTCCAATAGGATACTAGTAGATATTTATGCTTTTCATTGACAAGTGGGTAAACCATAGTATTCCCCCTGCCAAAATCTCCATTTGCTGACCAAGAAAGAAATTAGTCGCTTTATGATTTCTTTCTATTTTTATTTTTTAAACCAGCTGTGCAATAATAAAAAAATTCAAAAAAATTGAAAGTCCAACTAGCACTATACTAAAACGTATTAATTGCAACGCTCATATACAATGCACCCGGAAGAATTTAAAATCAAGAAGTACCCGAAATCACAAAACAATAGTCACAATCAATAGCCTACATGCAATGCAAAATAATATATTGTACTTTTACAACTCAAGTCAAAAACCCCAATTATAAGAAACTATGTACACAGAGTCCAAGCGTAACTCATGTCTTGTGTCTCATTTCTGTTCTCAGAATCCTCGGCAAGCTGCAAGTTTCACAAAGGACATGGAAGAGCATTCAAAATTTCATAGTTTTCAGAATTGAATGCGACTTCTGGGACACATCTTCCTCAATCCGTTCATCAATTATGATTAGAAATGTGCCACCAGAATTTTGGAAGTTTCCAAGGAAGACTTCTTCTCCATCACTCTCAAACTACTAGGTGAACTCAAAGATTTAGGCACCGTTTGGTAAC